TGTAGTACCTTCTCCTTCTTAAGACTATTCCTGTAAAATAATTATTATCAATGTTTCACGTTATATTCTTTGTAATGCCAAAGGAAAGTGTGGGTATAGATTTTATTTTATTTTATTTTTATTTTTTTTTCAGTCAGTTTTGGGAGAGACAACACAAATACTGATGCTCATGACAGATGTGTGGCATCAGAACACCCTTCAACAGCTCTGGCTCATAATGTGAACAACACAAGAGGTGTCCAATCTCTAGAAAAATACTTGAAAAATTATGGGGAAAATGATTGTATTTTTTTTCTTTTACTGTACAGATATACCCATTTGTGTTTATGGTAATCCTTTTCCAAGTTGATGCAGTTCTGAAACCCCACAAAAGCTTTTTATGCCTTTGGTTAATGCATTTGGAATCATAGTAGGACAGTTAATATTATCAATATGACTTCATTATTTAATGTATTTTACATTTACTCAAATTTTAAATAAATTGCTTATTAGTGAGCTGTGTAATCCCCAAAACTAGAATTAAGTGTTCCTCAAGCATCCTAAATAAGAAATGTGACTCTAATTTTATTTAGAATAAATCTACCATATGGTGGTATTATTTGCTAAGGTTGTGTAGATTACCGAATAAATTACTTTCTGGGTACTTTTTATTAAATTCTGATTCTAAATACCAAAGGGTGCTCCTTGTAAACTTCATGGAGATCAGACTGAATTTTATACCACTTCTAATAGGGTCAATATACATCTGTGTTATGTAGTCAACAAGTTAGGATTATTTTTTTGTTAATTTAAATAGCAGTAAAGTTTCAATTAGAAGATACTCCTTTTTTGTAACAAATTTGATTCTTAAAAGACAATAATATTTATGGTAGTAGAAGCCCCTGAACAGTAGTTAGGTATAGATCAGCCTATAATGTGTACTTTTAAGACTTATGATTCAAGTAACTGTCACTTTTGAACTGAGAAAAGTAGGAATTGAAAAAAAAAAGATACCTTATCTGATTTGGACATTTATAAAAGTATATAAAACACACATGTTGGCTAAGGAATTAAGGGTTATTTTTCTAATTATAGTGACACTATAGAAAAAGAAATGAAATTAGCATGTTATAACGCTGTTACATTTATCTCTCATAAATAATTCAAGTTGATGTAATGGATTGTTTCATCCAATTTGTTCAGCATTAATTTTTTTCATGATGTTTTCAGGTGTTTATTTACAAATTTCAGATTATTGAACTGTAAATTGTTTTGAAAGACTTGACAGACTTCGAAATGTCTAAAAGGTACATTGCAGCATAATCAATCTCAGGATCATTACATTTATTCATGACAGCAAAACATCAAAGGTGTTTTCTTATTTATGTTTGAAATCCTGATGCGATCAAGTTACAACTTCATTTTTCTGAAATCCGTTTCCTCTATAGGGACTAATGCTGTGTTGTAATAGGTAGAACAGTATCAAAGCAAAACCAGAGATGGCCTTTGCCATTAAGAAGCTGAAGATAAAAATAGTACAGATAGATTCTGTTTCCCATGTAAGGAGCTAATGCCTGAGGATATATAAAGAGAGAGTACAGGGTCCACAATGGAGCCGGTCGGAAGGAAGTTTTAGAGATGGCATCCTGGAAGGGAAAGCATGGTATCTGTGGGAGTTTTGCCACATTAAAGTCACAGAACAGGCAGCCTGAGCAGGTGGACCCACATCTACACAGGCCCTAAGGGTGAAAGTGAATAGAAAATGGCAGTCATCAGTGTAATTGGAGAATGAAATGTGAGGAGAGAAATAATGAATCTGGAGATTTAGAGAGTATCTGGGCCCTGAAGAGCCTTTCTAAAGAAGATGGATAATTCGAGTCTATATTTTATCTTTCTGTCATTTATTCCTTTTCATTAGGAAATAGGAGTTCATATAAAACAAGGTGAAATCTAAAGGATTTTTGTCTTTAATGGATTTTTATATCTACCCCAGTTCATTTCATTGAACATTCAAACATGCTTTAGAACCTGTGGTGGTTTTACTTAAGGAAATTAGGACAAATGTATCTGTAGATTAAATGTGTTATTTGTTCCCAGTGGAAGTCTGGCTCTGTTCATTATATGTCAGAAGAGGAGTGATTATTGTAATTTTTTTTTGAAAAAATTGTCTTAGTTAAATCTTATGAATACTTGCTAAGGAGATATGGAATTGAGTCAGTTTTAGAAATTTTAATGCTGATCCAAATGCAAGAAATCCTTCTTAAAAGGCCAAGAAATATTTCAATATACATCAATTTTGAAGTACTTAAGTCATCATGGTGAATATCTTGGCATTAATGCATTTAAGGCCATAGGTTCACAACCAGCTGCAAGTCATTATGGTTGATAATGCTCTAATTAGGACACAGTTGTTCAGTAGGCACTGAATGGAAACTGAAATGCTGCATATAAATGAAAAAAATCAGAGCTAAGAATGATGCTAATTAAAACATTAAGAATAAAATCATGGAAAAATGTATTATTCATTGTCTCTAATTTGGAAAATGTAAGCTGTGAGGAGGAGACATTTTTATTTGTGAAAAATAAGAGTTCCATTTATATTTAAAGCTTTCTTCAATGAAGACCTTATAGGAACACTGAAATGCTCAGGTGTGGCTCATTGTACAGTTTAGATTTAAACTCAAATTCATGTGGAGGTAAAAAAAAAACCTTATAATGTGTTGGTGGACATGTAAATTAGTACAGTCATTTGAGAAAACTAGAGAAGTTCCTCAAAATATTAAAAATAGATTGACTATATGATTTAGCAACTCCATATCTGAATATATATCCTAGGGATCTGAAATGAGAATTTCAAAGAAATGCCTTCACGTCTGTTCATTGAAGCATTATTAGTAATAGCCAAGATATGAAACAAAAGGATAAATGGATAAATAAAAAAATGTGGTGTATATATATCATGATATGCTATTCAGCTTTAAATGAGAAGGACATTCTATATTTGCAACAATGTAGATGAACCTGGATTACTGCATGCTCAGTGAAATGAAAGAAGCCAGCACAGAGAAATAAATGCTATGTGATCTCACTACTGTTGGCATTTTAAAAAGTCTAACTTGATGAAGTAGGGGATAGAATAAGAGTTACTAGGGGTGACAGTTGGAATAGGTGGCATAGGGGATGGGGAGATGTGCAAAGGGTTGGTTACAAATTTTCAGTTATATAGGAGGAATGTATTTCAGAAATTCGTTGCATGGCATGGTGACTACAGACAATAGTAGAGAAGTAGGAACTTCAAAATTTAAATTTAACATTTTAAATGTTCTCCCAAGAGAGATGGTAGATATATTAATTAGCTTGATTTAATCATTGCACAATGTAAGCATATATCAAAATATCATGTTATACTACATAAATATATACAATTCTTTCTTGTCAAATTAAATAAATGCTATGTGATCTCACTAGCAAATTAAAAATAAAGTCAACTTCAAAGATTAACTCAGATTCAGTGATTGAAATGAAAAAAATCATCCATTAAAATCTTAAAATGCAAATGTGTCAAACTATATTGTTTGAAATTATATCTGAGAAAAAATATTCTCCATTTTCATGTCTTCCTTCTTCAAGGAAATGAAAGTTTTTTTTTTTTTACTTAATCAATTCTCCTATCTATAAGGATAATGAAGTGGAGGGTTTCTAATATTATATACTTATTAGTGTTTAGTCAGGCAGATTTGGTCACAAAAAAACAACAAAATGAAACAGAGTCCAATTCGAGTGGACAAAGGAGGATTGGACAGTGCAGGTAAAAGGTTAAGTGAAATTTAAAGCAAAGCAAAACAAAACAGAAGCACATCCTGGTACATTGTGAAGCCCATTGAAAAGTAGCAGCCAGCAGAGTCCTAAGATTGACTCTCAACTAGGAATCCCTGAAGAGGAAGCATGATTTGGTTCTCACTCCAGTGCATGCAGTATATACCAGGCTTACCTGAGCCAACCTTAAAGTGGAGATGGTTTAATTTCTTATTCCTGCTTGCTTGTTAGCCGAGTGACTTCAGATGAATTACTTCTGCCGTAAAACGCCCAGTTTTCATTCAGTGACCGCTGAACCGTTGTGTCCTAATTAGAAGTTTTACCTACTTCTAGAGTAAAAAGAAAATCTGTGGAAAATATTTAGTACAGGAAAAGTTGGGTAACTAGAGCTGCTGTCTTCTTCTTCTTTTACCTCTGATTGATCATCAGAACCCTTGTAGACTGACACTGATATGGCTCATAATGTTTTTTGTTTTAGATTCCCTCAGTATATATTCTCATTTTTCGTATGATTATCAACTGATTTGCCTCATAAGTTTAACTTGTTTATAAGCCTACCCTGTATCCTTTGTGGTTTAATTTCTTCTTTAATGGCTTGATTATTTCTGAGCTTCCTAAATCGAACAACAAAGAGAAGAATTTATCCTAATTATTTTTTTTTCTCAAAATGGAGATTTCAGTGTCTGGCCATACCTTTGTCTGGTTTTTGACCCTAATATGCTTATGTCAATAACCTGCTGAGTCACATAGTTTAAAAAATGGCTTCATCTGGTGTTCTCCTACAGAGGCAATACTGGAGCATTTACTTAGCAATAATCAAAGCTGTCATATGCTTCCTCCTAATTAAGCACATGTAGAAAATTAAGATTCAACAATTTGCCAGAATTATGAAATCAGTTGTGAGTAGTTAGTCTGGCTCTTAAATAAATGATCTCATATCACGGAACCTAATACACTTTTGAGTATACTTTAAGTATTTTTGGTTACATCAACTTTTTTTTTTACCATTTGAAATTTTTGTAAAATAGTGTATCACTTTTGTATTTATAAATTTAAAAGATTCTTCGGTATCAGAATTTAATCATTTATTGTTTCGGTATAACTCAAATTCTATGCTGCGCCTTGAAATGCAATATTTTGTTTTACTAGGTCTTATTTTTAATTGTATTCTATTGACTTGTTCTTTTTGTTTTAACTTTTCTCAGGTTGCTAAGTTGGCTATCCCCGTGCAAGCCTCGGAGTCCCAATGGGGGACTCAGGATCAAGAAGATCTACCTTGGTCTCACGGTTGCCAATATTTAGAAAAAGTATTAGCAGAAGACATGACTCTCTTCCTTCTTCACCCTCTTCCAGCAATACCGTTGGTGTCCACAGTTCTTCTCCTTCCAGCACTAACTCAAGCTCAGGTAGTACAGGAAAACGCAGGAGCATATTCCGAGCTCCTTCCATCAGCTTCCACCATAAGAAAGGGAGTGAACCTAAGCAAGAACCCACTAACCAGAACCTTAGTATTTCAAATGGTGCTCAACCTGGTCACAGCAATATGCAGAAACTGAGTTTGGAAGAACATATTAAAACCAGGGGAAGACATTCTGTGGGTTTTAGTAGTTCACGACATAAGAAGATAACAAGATCCTTGACGGAGAATTTTGAAAGGGAAAAGGAGCACTCAACTAATAAGAATGTCTTTATAAATTGTCTAAGTTCTGGCAAGAGTGAGGGAGATGATTCTGGATTCACAGAAGAACAAACTCGCCGTTCTGTTAAGCAGTCAACAAGGAAGTTACTCCCTAAATCTTTTTCATCTCACTATAAATTTTCTAAGCCAGTTCCACAGAGCCAATCCATTTCGTTGGTACAACAGTCTGAATTTTCACTTGAAATTACACAGTACCAAGAGAGAGAACCTGTGTTAGTAAGAGCTTCTCCATCTTGTTCTGTGGATGTAAATGAACGGGCAGGAAGCTCTTTGCAATCTCCTTTGCTTTCTGCTGATCTTACCACAGCCCAGACACCTTCAGAATTTTTAGCCTTGACTGAAGATTCTGTGTCTGAAGCAGATGCATTTCCTAATAGTGGAAGCATGGCATCCCACTGTGACAATGGTGGCCCCAATGACCCTACCTCTCAGAGCTCTCCCAAACCTGCTGCTGTTACAAAGACAACAATAGAACTTATGGGAGCTGTGCCTGGTGCAGTTATGTCTCCTGGGAAATACAGGTTAGAAGGTCGATGTAGCACTGAATCTAATTCCTTATCAGAAACCTCTGCTGCTAATCAAAAGGAAGTGTCATTGCAAATCACTGAGCTACTGGTTAAGAATGTGAACAACTCAGAGACTCACCTATCAGCGGATACTCAAAGAGAAGAAAATATGCCACTACAAAATGGTGAATCAATGCCAAGGACAGGCTCTCCAAGGAAACTTGGATTCTGTGAGCAACATAAAGCAATAGCTGAACGTGTTAAAGGGATTCATCCTGTTTCAGATTCAAGGATAATACCTTCTTCTGGAGATCATCACATTTTAAACAAAACATCCTATGGTTATGAAGCAAGTACAGCCAGAGGTATGCTGCTTTTCTTTATGTATAATAAATGATGTGAATCAATGTTCATTATAATGTATTCGATTTTCTCACTTCATCTCATGAATCCACATTTTCTTCATTTTTTCACTCTACATCTCTTCTCCTTTGTTTTAAATGCTGCTGTTTCTTAATTTTAAATTTACATCAATTATATATATTAAAAGCATAACTCATTTTCCTCTACTATGTTACTCAGATTCTAACCTCCAAAGAAAGTGGAAAGAAATTAATAATTGTTTGCAAAGTGACTTCATGTAGAATAAGGGCTGTCTTTTTTTAAATAATCCATTATGCAGTTATTGGTATTTCATAGTTAGTGAAATGAATATATTTCAGCCAAACTCATTATACATTTTCATACTTAAAATTCTGTTGCTTATGTTAAGAAATGTTTATTAACCAGGGTACATGATTTGATATAAATAATCCCCATCTCTTGACAAGAAGGAATTGCAAACTTTAAAAATAAGGTTCATGGTGCATATAGCCCCTGCTTGATTCTGACCCTGTCTCTAAAATTAACTAGGTGTGCAATCTGGCACTCATTCTCTTTAGTTTAAAAGAAAGAGTGTGTGTGTGTGTGTGTGTGTGTGTGTGTGTGTGTGTGAGAGAGAGAGAGAGAGAGAGAGAGAGAGAGAGAGAAAGAGAGAGAATGAATTACCCCAGCAGTTTGAATCCAGAAAACTTGGTTATTAAACACAAAATTCAGTTCAAGAAAAGTTTTGGGTACTTCCTGCATACCCAAAAATGTGCTAAGAAATTTGCATGTACTATTTTATTCAATGCTCACAAAACTTTCATGCAGAAGTTATTGATAAAAATTTATAATTGATAACATTACCAAGTCACTTTGTTAGAAAATTATGGACCTTCAGTTGAAATGCAGGCAGTTAAAAAAAAATCACCCTGAATTACCCTGAACTGAGCATTGCACATTATATGCATGCATTGAAATGTCACTGTGTACCCCACAAATACATAGAACTGGTATAAAGATAAATTTTCTTTTGGTGCAAAAAGAAAGAAAAAAGCACCAAAACAGAAATATAATTATATGCCAAATATATATATATCTTACATATCAAATTCTTATTTAGTGGTGATGACTTGCCTCAATGTATAATTCAATACTGTGTATTTTTGTCTCTGTGGAAACTAGGGAATAAGCAATGATGATCTTGGTGATTATTTATCTGTTTGTTAAGAAAATGGAGTTAAGACATTTAACACATTAAAATAATTTTGACAATGTATTACCTGCTCTTGTACAGATATTCTGGTAATATCAACAAGGAAAAGATGATATTCTACTATTTTTTATTTGTGAGAATATTGAATATTGATGTGCTCATCTTCTTAAGGATTTTGTAATTTGGGACTTAGAAATTTTAAAATCAGTTTAAGTAAATGCGTTTTAGGCAAGAAAGATGCTGCACACACTCAGTTCCATATACTAAATTTATTTTGTATTTGTTATGAAACATATAGTTAAGCTACTATATTATATGTACCTAAGTGTCTTAGATGTCCTATTAGTACTATTAATAATTAAATTAAATTTTATTCATTGGTTTTAAACTTATTTTAAAAAATTGCTATATTAGTCTAATAGGTTTTGTTAAAAAATGTTTTAACTAGTAGATGAGCCTAAATAGAATGGTTAGTTTATTAATTTCTTCATTCAACAAGTATAGTTTTGACACTTTTTGTTTTCTGGAATCAAATGTGGAATTTTTAAAAAAAATGTATTTTAATTTGGTGTATATGACAGCAGAATGCATTTTGATTCATTGTACACAATTGCAGCACAACTTTACATTTCTGTGGTTGTACACGATGTAGCATCACATCATATGTGCAGCCATACATGTACCTAGGGTAATGATTTCCATCTCATTCCACCATCTTTCCTACTCCCATACCCACACTCCACCCCACCTTTGCTTTGCCTTATCAAAATTCCCTCATTTTTTCCATGTCTTTCCTATTGTGGATCAGAATCTATTTATTAGAGAGAACATATGGCCTTTGGATTTCTGGGGTTGGCTTACTTACCATCAATTTACCTGCAAATGCCATAATTTAATTCTCTTTTAATGCTGAGTAACAGTTCATTGTGTGTATATAACACAGTTTCTTTATCCATTAATCTATTGAAGGACATCTAGGTTGCTTCCACAGTTTAGCTATTGTGAATTGAGCTGCTATAAACATTGATGTGGCTGAATGCTATAGTAATGCTATAGCATGCTGATTTTAAGTCCTTTGGGTATAGACCAAGGGGTGGGACAACTGGGTCAAATGGTGGTTCCATTCAAAGTTTTCTAAGGAATCTCCATACTGCTTTCCAGATTGGTTGCACCAATTTGCAGTTCCACCAGAAATGTATGAGTATGCCTATTCCCTCACATTATCGCTAACATTTATTGCTATCTGTATTCTTGATAACTGCCATTCTGAATGGTGTGAGATGCAATCTTAGAGTAGTTTGATTTGCATTTCTCTAATTACTAGAAATGTTGAACATTTCTTTTCATATGTTTATTAATCTAATGTATATTTTCTTCTGAAAAGTATCTGTTCAGATCCTTAGCCCACTATTGATTGGGTTGCTTGTTTCTTTTAGTGTTAAGTTTTTGAGTTTCTTTATATATCCTGGAGATTAGTGTTCTATCTGATGTGCATGTGGCAAAAATTTGCTCCCAAAATTTAGATTCTCTCTTCACTTCATTGATTGTTTCTTTAGCCGAGAAGCAGCTTTTTATTGTGAGTATATCCCATTTATTAATTCTTGATTTTGTTTCTTGCTCTTTAGGAGTCTTGTTAAGTTAAATTGTTTTTAGCACTAGCAATACAACAGGCAGAAGTCTCACCTTCATGAAGCTTATTTTCTACTGTGGATACTCTGACAATGAAAGTGCATATAAATAAATGTCATATGTTAATAATGGCTGAGTACAAGTTTTAAAGCAGAATAAAGGACTGGGATTGGGAAGTGGGGTAGAGGTTTGCCTTTTTCAACATGACGAGAAGGGTAGCACCTAAGGTAAGATATTACAAAGATTTGAATGAAGTTAGAGGAAGCCATGAAGATATTTGCAAGAAATATATTTGTGTGAAGATCACAGGTCTAAGGATGTAGGTCTGGAGCCTTAGATGTTCCAGAAACCTCCAGAAGCTCATGTGGCATAGCAGAATGAAGGGTACAGGGTGGGGGGATTTGAGACCGAGCATCTCAACAGGACAGGCCTTGGTGTGAGGATGATGAGATGGGTCATGGCTCAAGGAACCAGGCAAGCCCTTTGGAAAGCTTTATGACTGGAGGGATGATGATGGTGGAGCTTCCTGTGTTAAGCAACATGGTTCTGGCCACCGTGTGAAAGCAGGTTTTGTGTTGGGGATGCAGAGAGGCAGGTGCGAGTACGCAAGATAATTTTAGGGAGTATTATGCTAATTTCCAAGGGAATATCTATAAAAACTCAGTTTATATATTTATATTAATATATTCATATTAATTATTTTTCTTTCACTAGTTCTTGCCAGTAGCCTCAGTCCGTATCGGGAAGGAAGGTTTATAGAGAGGCGACTCCGGTCCTCATCAGAAGGAACTGCAGGGAGTAGCAGAATGATTTTGAAACCAAAAGATGGAAATGTAGAAGAAGTAAATAGCTTAAGAAAGCAAAGAACGAGTTCCTCATCCTCAAAAATGAACAGTATGGTAAGTATATACACATGGATGCAAATAATAAAATACTGCTTTATATATCTGTCTTCAGGTTTTTGCTTCTTGCAAAAAAAAATACACTGGCTGAAGGGTAGATATATACTATTTGAAGGGAAAGTTGATCTCTATAGTTGATGTCACAAATCAGAGTCATTTCTCACTTGAGATTCCTACGGGGCAGAACAGATAGGTGCATACCATGACAGATCCCCTTGAGTTCTTGTCTTCTGTGCCTCCACGGGAAGTTTGCAATTCTTCATTTTAGAACAAGACCCAAGGATACACAAGGTAAAAAAAACACGGATTGTGAGGATAGCCTCATTTCCCGCTATAAAATGTAGTTTCATAAAACACACTTGCACTCATACCACCTTTAAGCCATTTAGTCATCTCTCCTGTAGTGTAGCCAGAGTGCATTACATGGAGTGCCAACTGTGGGGGACAATCCAACATGCCTATCTGAAGTTCGAACACACTACAGATAACTGAGACACCAGATTCCTGGTCCAAGCTATAGAGCCTGCCTTTTGGAATTTGTTTTGCTTGTTTTCTTGCAAATGTGTCCTTTTTCAGCAGTGCATTTTACTCCTGTTGTTTAACAGCATTTCTTTAAAATTATTTACCTGCCTACCTACCTGCTTACCCCGACCTACCCATCCATAGATATTTCTTGAAAAATGCTAATAAATAAATCACTTATAATATCTCTTATACCTTAGATAATATAGTTTCAAATGAAAATTCTAGGTCAGTTATACATGATAATTGTATTATGCAGAAGCCTTCAGTTAGTACAATTACCTTGAGTTTTAGCAAAACCATTGTGCTTGAAATTGGAAGTTATAGCTATTATTTGGGCTTCACTATTTCTTAATATTGGTCAAACAAGGAACTAATGAACAGCCAAGAATACTGGGCTTTCTGGTTACATTGTACGAAAAAATTATAATGGGTTTACATTTGAATATATGTAAAGATAGTAAATTTTTTTTCTTTTGTACATTGAAAGTGTTATATCCTTATTGTTATAGTTGATTTTTTAAAGGTATGAGAATATGTTTTAAAAAGATTTTCATTTGATGAAACCCAAGAAGTTAGAGGTAATTTGGAATTATTAAACATTTTTTTTCAGATAATTTACATTATTTCTTTATATAGAACTATTTATATTGTTATGTACAGTATAAACTCCTCTTGCTCAAAGTTGAAACTTTTATGTATTCTAATATATCAAATGTTTTTCTTACACCATGTGATTTAAATAATTGCCTTTGTAAAAGCATAAAATCACACTTCTCAATTCCACTTCCGAGATTTACAACTGAAAATGTCAAAAAACATAGAAAGTGATTTTGTTTTTTGTTTGTACCCTTGCTTAAATTTTTCAAAAAGTGTTCCTGCAGAGTTACAATCATTCCACTAGATGGCAGTATTACACCATTGCCATGTGGTTGACTAGAAACCTGGTGAAGGTATTGAACCTGTTCTCTCAGTTTATGGTTTGTAGTAATTGAAATAAATACTGACACTTTTGAACCTTAAAATACTTAATGATTTCACTGTTTCTCTTTGTATTTTTCCATATAAATTTCATTCATAAGTTCCCTTATTATTCAATAGTTAATTTATAATGTACAAAATATATTATTTTAGCAATGCAAGGAGAAATGCTAGGATGCTTTAGGTAATTCTAAATCTGTGTTAAACAAGTGACAAGTATGTAGGAAATCATAGCTTTATATGTGAAAAGTGACACATTTTCTATATTCCTCTTCCAAAATAGCTCAAGCAACTGTACATACTTGAGAATAAATCTGTGGTTTAGTTATTATTTCCTCTTAAAGAAATAATAACAGGTGTTTTTAATGTTCATTAGTGTCAAGGGACACTTAATGCTTTGAACATTCAGTCCTCATAGAAATACTATGGACTAAGTCGTACTGTTTTAATCAAGTTTTGCAAAAGTGGAAAGATAAGACACTATGAAGATAAATAACTTTCCCAAAATCATATAGATAGTAAATGCCAGAGGTTGGATATGGATTTGGATCCTGGCTTTTTAAGTTTAAAACCTACAGGCTTTGGGGAGAATGTATTAGCTTTAAAATTAATTTGAAGCACTTTTCAGTTTTGTTCTGTCAATTCTGTTGAATTAACAGAACATTAAATTAACATGTTTATTTCCCAGCAGCACCCTCCCCCACAAAAAAGAAAAGAAATTAACATGTTGAAGGCAACCTATGCTTGGTGTCAGTCTATACTCTAACCCTCTATAACAGATAGAAAAAAAAAATGGAAAAATTAATACTTATTTTGAACTTGAAATATACTAGTATTTTTTGATATAGTGATGAGTGCATCAGTGTCTCTACTGAAATATATAACATCAAAAGTGGATATGCATACCAAGGTGGAACGCCAGTCCTTTGTACAGTTCATGGGATGTCAAATATGGGTCTGTTAAGATGCCAGGGTGTTCCTGCATGGCAGAAGATACACGCTAATGGTTTAGATACATAAAAATTCTACTGTTTTTGTACACTTGTGGGATATTGCAATCTAGAAGAGAAAGGGCACATTGTATTAATTTATAGAATGTCAGTGGCCCAGAAACAGTTGGAATTTGCTTAATTTTTTTTATAGGGAAAATATATGTAAAACTATTTAATAGAAATTCACATTTTTTTTTTCAAAGAAACCACTATAGAGACTTTTCTTTATTTTTCTCTAAGGAGAAACTTTCTCAATACTTTCCATAGGATTGTCTAAAAAAGCTCAAAGAGCTTTTCTAGAAATAGGGTCTTCTTCTTTTCTTTTCTCTCTCTCTCTCTCTCTCTCTCTCTCTCTCTCTCTCTCTCTTTCTTTCTTTCTTTTTTACAAGCTTTACCTTTGAACTCTGATTTATAAATGAATAAGCATAAGGTTTTGTTATGGTTTCACCAATTGCATTACACAGTGAATTCTCACTCTGGATATTTGCAGGATCACCCTGTCCTGATTTTAAAAAAATAATAATAATAATGTGAGGGTCAATTCATAAATAATGAGCAATACAAAGGAACTGACATTCAAGGCAGGAAAGTGCCTGGATTGTGATAAACTTGGTTAAATGATAAAAAATAAGCCTCAAGTCTTAGTGACTTTATAATATGTATTCATTTCTCACTCAAATTATGTGTTCATGGTGAAAGGTGCCAGGGGTTCTATTGTGTCTCTTTGCTCTGTTTTCAGAGTAGCTGTCAAAGCAGCTACTATTGTTAACCTTGCCCTTTACCATGGTAAAATATAAAAAGAGACTCTGGAGGTCCTGATAATAAAATGCTCTGACCTATGAGAGTCACTTCATTTCTGCTCACAACTCATTGGTCAGATCTCCTCAGGTGTCCCAAATCAGACACAAAAGAGGCCATGCAATCTCTCCTTGTGTCTGGAAGATATAGACTTGATTTGTGTTTGGTGAGCACCAATGACTATCATTTCAAATATTTTTTTGTATCTCCATTTTTTAATTAAGTGATATTTCCTGCAGGACTCTTCCTTACCTGTTGTCCAGTCATTGAATGCCTCACACTGGGTTGGTCATTTGTTGTTGAAAAAGATGAAATCACATCTGAAACTGAAGGATTAATGTATAAGGATGAGTTTTGTTCTTTGGGATGTGCTCTCTTCCCTTCTTAATGTCCTTGAGATATATACTTTAAATGGACTAAATTTACATTTTTATTTGACTCAAGGAGTCTTACTGTATTTGGAAGTATTTTATTACATTACAAATTTGGTTTGGAAAGTTGATTATCTTTAGTTCACTCAGCAAATGCATTCATAGTGTTGCTCTGAACTGTTGTGCTAAGTGACCCTGACAGCAGTCATTTATGGCCAGTTTTGCTCTGACGCAGCATAATTTCCTCTCATTTGCAGTTGGGCATCCAGCTGCCTTTGTGTAGAAACCGTGAATGGCACAGTAAAAACATCAGTCTTAGGAATGCCTTGGTGGAAGTGAGGACCAGATTTGTGTTTGATTTTAAAACAAGAAAAAGTAGTAAAGTACATATATTTATTTTCTCATGAATATTTTAATGCTTTGGTATGTTGAACTCTAGATAATCACTGTTAATAGTCGAACAATCTAAGACTAATTAATCAAGCACTATTTAGGAGACTCAAGCAATTTATTATGCATATGCTTTTTTTCTGGGCCCTGTGGTGTTTTTTTTTTTCACCTATTAGCTTATCCTTTGTTCATTATTATCAGTTCATTCATGAATTCAGAGTTTCTTTAATAAATACTGATTGAGAACTTATTCTGATGATACAAAGAAGAGTCACTTGAGGATTTTAGAGTCCTGAGATAAGGAGAAAATAATGTTGACCATGATCTTGTCAATACAACAAATTTAACCATTTTGATACAGTAAAGAGAAAGACACAGAATGAATCTCAATATTAGTATTCCAAATAGCAGTTGAAAAAGACTCCATCTCTACAACCTGCCTGGCAAAAGAATTCCAATGGCCTCATTTGGGATATGCACCATCACATTTCCATTCTGTGGGATGAAAGTTGTTCATTAAGAGCAAAATAAAGATGATGATTATACCTGACTCAAGATATGTCTCCCCTGAATCCTTAAGTCCTTAATGAGAATTTGCAATAAGTAATAATGCTAATGGATGTTGGGGTGTTAAAATAATAATTGTGGCTTTTGGTGTAACTCATTATCAGTGGGATTAAAGACAATGTAATTGCACATGTCAGACATGTTTAATGAGCAAAGGAAGTCAGTAATATTTTTAGGGAAATGGAGTTATACAAATCATCCTCCTCAATCCTTATAAATGTGAAGAAGGGAAATCACAAGTATCACTCCTTAAGTGTGAAATTACATTTGTTGATAACTGGCATATTAATTTTAGGTTAATAGCCCTAATCCACAATGGCTTTATTGATTTAGTTACTGATGGCATTTTCCTCTCAATGTTCTTTGAGGTTATCAC